GTGGCAGATGAAATTTTATCAGGGAACAAACCATAGAAAACACCACAAAGGGAATTTGATTTGAAGAGGTACAGCCATAAGAAACAACAGAATAACAATACTAGGAAATCATGCAACAAAATATAGCAGTTTTCAAATACTTGACAATAAATTCATAAACAAGCAAGCCCAAACTGTAAACAAGGACTTGGGTAATAAGAAAATCCATCTATTCTTTTTGAAGCCACGATTGTATGTTCTCTAGTAGTTTCAGCCCTATATATATTTCTACCATGACCCATGGACTATCATTTCCAAAACCACTAACTAGCAGAGATAGAAAGGTAAGTATAGGAAAGCAGCAGTAAAGGAGGAACAGGAGGTGAAACAGCAACAAAACAAATACTAAGTACCATTACTTTTGAGTCTTATAGGATATGTTCTGGGAGATGTAAATCAAACAAAGCGAAAGACTGCACCAACTTTCCCTCCACCATTAACTCAAGACCTAGGGCTTACTTTGATGCTTGGTGACAGGAAATAATCTTTAAGTCTTATAACTGGTCTCTCCCATTGGCCTTTTCAGCCACACCCATACATAAGGTTGATTATGAAGTAATAAGACCATTCTTAAGGATATATGCATAAATAGTCCCCTGCCTTTCTCTAGTTAACATGTATTCTCAGTGGTTTCAGCTCTGATAATGAAGTATAAAACAGACAATATGCAAGAGCAATTAAAGCCTGGTGGGAAGTAAGTAGTTTTTGTAGTTATCACTCAGTCACAGCTAGTTACTAGAGTTAAATGTTGTAAGAGCACTTAGTGAGATCATGCCCACAATTAATTAAGCCCAGTTTCACCCACATGTGCTTAGGGACTGCCACATGAAATCCATCTTCTTCCACTGAAATAAATTCAGAGTTAGTTTTTCACCTGTGCCAACCATAAGCAAATTCAGCTTTAAAATATGCTAAGTATATGAGACACTTCAAAATTAGACAAAAAAAAAAAGATCAATTATTTCACTTAGCTCTGAAAGGACTAATAAAAGGTATACTGCTTCTGTTCAGGTTCATGAGGGCTTTGAAGTATCTGCTTTTAGAAGCACAATATTAATTCCTATTATTTAAACTAGATAATTAGTAAATATAATTTTGAAACAAATCTAGCCATGTCACCAAAATGGAAAAACTCCTAAATCAGTTCAACAAATTTCTAATTTTGAAGTAACTATTTTGCCCAAGGCCTTTAATTAGAAGTGCATTAAATTCTGAATTTTCTATTTACTAAGCTGAAATTATTATTATTATTTTGGTAGGACTGGGGTTTGAACTTGGCTTTAGGCTTGCAAAGCAGGCACTCCACTGCTTGAGCCACACCTCCAGTCCATTTGCTCTGGTTACTTTTGGAGGTGGGGTCTCTTGAACTATTTGGCTGGCTGGCTTCGAACCTCCATTCTCCTAATCTCAGCCTCCCAAGTAGCTACGATTACAGGCGTGAGCCACTGGTGCCTGGTTCACTAATATTATTTTTAAGAACAGAAAAAAACCCTTCTAAGTTGTAACCTTTCTCTTGACTATTTTGGGAAGACACTAGAAATTTAATTATTAAGAGCCCCAAACAAAACATGCTTATGTTATTAAAAATCTGGATCTAATTTACCTGAAGAGGAGCCATGAGTTGAGCTCATACTTTTGACCTTGGAGTCTGACAGTCGAGAAATACTGTTAGCTCTAATTCTAGGAGAAAATTTATCAGATGGCACTAATCTGGCTCCACTTCTAATGATGGCTTCTGCGGTACGTGAAGAGGCACTACTTCTAGATATTGTTGCTTCAGAGTCACTACGGGCAGACAATGAGCCAAGCCTCGTCCTACGAGGCTGAGCCAATAAATCAATCCTAGAGATGTTCCGCCTCCCTGTGGGTGGTTTTGATGTGGAACTTGTGGTGGAAACTTCAGAAGCAACAGATGCCTTGTCAGCATCAGCAAGTTCACTGTCTGAAGCTTCACCAAGTCGTGCTCTGCGCAAGAGGGAAGTCCTAGTAGGTCGAGGCCTTGGAAGAGTGGTTGATTTATTGGATGAACCAGGAGCTACTGGAGAAGACTTAGATTTTGTTCCTTTGCCTCCTTCCAGTTTGGAATGCACATGCTCGTCAGTGGAGGTTAGTGGAGTCCTTCCATGAGATTTGCAAGAGTATGTTTCCTGGTCAGATGACATGATGTCAGAAATAGCAGAATGAGGTACACTGGAAGTTTGGTCGTCATCTGTCAAGTCTACTGAAGGCTGCCTTATTCTTCCACTGGATTGTACAAATTTCCGACCATCTGCTCTTGAACCTATATCTGTGGAACGGCTTTTTGTTTTCTTTTCAATTTTCTCCCTAGCACCTGAAGATGAAGATTTTGTCACATCTTTGGAAGGAGAACTTGTGGAACACCTATCTTTGTAGAGGCTAGTGAAACTCTTTCGCTTTTGGGTGGACTTTCTCTCAGTCTCTCCAGTAACCAGACTGATTGTACTAGCTGTATCCACATCAGACTCTGGGGAAATAGAATTGTCTCTATTGTAACTGGGAGTATCTGGGCCTTCATCAGTTTTATTATCTTCACGCAGTTTAGCTTCTAGAAAAGCCATTACTGCTTCTGTGTCTTTTAGAATAAGGGTTGTGTCCATACTAGAATCAGTATCCAAAGAGTCACTTCTGTCTCGCAGTCTACTTGCAGATGTTAATACTAAGGAAGGGGTTGTAGATGATGTCTGTTTATTTATATGAGGAATAAGTTCTATGGGTATGTTTGGGGTAGGTTTTTCTATAGTGAAGCTGCCTTGTCGCACTAATGGCTTGGAGGATTCCTTCTTGTCTCCTCCCTTTGAAGGCTGACTTTTCAGAATTTCCTCAGCTTTTCTTCTCTTGTTCTCATTTTGTATTACCCTTTCTCCTTTGCTTGTAGAATGTCCTTGAATTTTTTCTGGAGATTGGGATTCTGGTTTAGAAACTTCCTCCCTACATTTATCTATCTGACCTGAAACACTTTTTGAAGATAGTTTAGTAGGTGTCCACTGGGCCTGCTCCTTCTGTTCTTGTTGCTGCTGTATTTTAGCTAATGTCTGTTTTATTAAAGAAGCTTCCTTATCGGTTTCATTCTTCTCCTTCCCAGAAGAGCTGCCTAAGTGAAGGAGGACTTTACTATCTCCACCAGTTTTAAGAATTTCACCATTTACTCCTCTGTTCATTTTATTCAGGGTTCTGTCAGCATCCTGTTTATCTTTTTGGTATACCTGTGTGGGTGTTTCTTTCTCTTGCAGTTCTGTGTCTTGCTTCTCTCCTATCTCTGATCTCTGTGTTACAACCTTTGCTCTGGAGCTCTCAAGAACCTTTTCTTCATTTGGAAGCTGGGGAAGAGTTCGTCGTCTTCTCTCTCCTTGAGTAGCCAAAGAAGTTGTAGAGCTAGTATTTCTCAGTGACACGCCAGATTCACCAACATCTGTCTCTATAAAATAAAAACCACAAACACAGAATTAATTAGGACAAAAAAGTAAAAGGAGTATCATATCACATTAGATTTGGAAGCGTAAGTAAATAGTTTAAAAAGCAAGTATAATTCCAAATGACACAGATTAACAATCTGCCTATCTACAGATGACTCAGGAAAACAAACATGAGACAAAAATTACAGCCATATGATCTTTCATTCCTGTAATAAATTTTTTTCTTATCTATTTTTTTAAGTGGCCAAAACTGTGTTTATAGTATATTCCGATTATATGTATACTTTGTGCAGTGAAATCAAGCTAATTACATATTCATTACCTCACATTAAATTTACCCTTTTTTGTGCAGTGAAGACCTATTCTCTTAGCAATTTTCAAGTTTACGATACCTTGTTATTAACTACAGGGACCCTCATGTATGAGGCTTATCTGTTACTAAACTACACTCGTTGCTGTTTTTGTTTTGATGTATTTTATAGCACAAAAGTTCACTGTCCATTCTTGCTTTTTGTGATTATCTGTCTTTGAGGTTTGCTGAAGAAAACAGATGTCATGGTGACACATCCCTGTGATCCTTGCTACTCAGGAGGTGGGGAAAGAGGATTGTGAGTTTGAGGACAGCCTAGGCAACGTTAGCAGGACCATATCTCCAAAACAGAATATAAAAAGGACTGAGGGCTTGGCTCAAGCAGTAGAGCACTTGTGTAGCACACAAGAAAACAGAATCCATAGCGTATTACAGAATTGCCAGAGAATACCTAAGAAGTATTACTCATGTTTTACATCCAATCACATAGTAGAAAAGAAAATTTTGGATTTTCTGAGTAAAATGGACAATGCAGACATGCAGACTTCAACAAGGTTTTATTGTTTTAACCAAAGCTGATTGAAAGAATTTAAAAAGCAGTATATATGAGAAAAGGTGACAGGATGTGTCACAGGGATTTTTTCTTTTTTACACCAGTCTTCTGGTACATTAAAGGCCACTTACAGAAATACATGACCACTTTCTTTAAAATAAGCAGAATCCAATGCAAAAATATATACTTTGATGTCTCCATTTGAGACAATCTGAGAGTATTTTCAATGTTCCTGATTGTTAAAACTGGAATATAGTTCTGAGAAAAGGTACTAGTGTTCTCAGGGAAATATAAGTCAACATGTAAGCAATATAATCATTAAGGGACAGATGGGGGGAAAACACTATACACAGAGCATCTATGGATCCTTTATAATCCTAACAGTTTACCACTTAAATTTCATTGTAATACAATGATTATGATTAACTTTAATTAATTTTTCGTGTTATGTCTTATTTTATTTATTCTTGGAAGTACATGTGTCTGATCTCCTTAGTGCTAAAGGAAGCACCTAAAATGCAATGGCTATTTATCTTTTTGTATTTTTCCTAATATTTCCCACGCTGTCCTGCTTCTAACAAAGTTGAAGTATGTTTAACACTTTTTTGGGATGCAAGTGGATTTATTAGCTTATCGAAATAAATTTACTTAGAACATGGTGAAACAGAAATGAGATCATGAAAGCTAAGTGGTTATTATATTTTATGACTAGGTAGAATTTTGTTTTTCACAGCTAATACTTGATAATTTTCCATGAGTTCTTTGGTAAATTTATTTTGTCCTTCTGTTGGGTTTTTCCCTGATCAGTGACCAGTTTATGTGAACAATCTGAAAATGACTAGTCTTTCCAAAGAGTTTTAGTGATGGTATCAGTTACTTCTAGATTCTATGATATGCTTTTCTGGTAAAGTATCATGTAGCTTGTTCAAATACTTGCTAACTAATGTTTACAATTTTTTTTTAAGAAACAGTCTCTTCCTATTTTATTTTTATTCATTTATTTGGGTGTTCTTTATTTGTTTGTTTTTATTTATTAGCATATTATAATTGTACTATGGGTATACTGTGACATCTACAAAAGTGCTTACAATATGTCCTAGAGTCACCCCCTCCATCACTCTTTATTCCCCCCTTCTTTGAACTATTTCAAAAGGCCTCATTTTTTTTCTCATTTTCACAGTACTTCCAATGTATTTGCCCTCCTTCACCCTTTCCTTATGTCCTCCCCACTCCCACTGGTACCAACCCCCAGATAGGACAGTTTTTCCTTTCCTGGTCTTCATTTTTTAAAAAAGATATATATTTTTTTATGCTCATTAAACAGAGTGTTTCACACACACACATACACACACATATATATATACACATATACATGTATGTGTATATATGTATTATTATACCCTGATTTGATTCAACCCCACCATGATTCTCATTTCTACCTTAGTTTCTTCCTCCTTATAATGATTTTAAGAGGTTGGAAAGTTCCAACAAAATTCCTAAAACTGATTTTTGAGGGTCTCAAAAGTCAGAGAAAATATAAATTTCCACTTCTAACAAGAACAAAAGTACAAATAAAGATAAAAAGCCAAATACACATTTTTCTTGGGGGTTGCATTTAAAAAAAATTTGGGGGGAGGACCATAAGTGAATTAAATTTTTAAATTTTAATTTATTATATAAATTGGTAATTTACAATTATATGTCCTTGTGGGATACAAAGTGACATTATTACTTATAAACACAGTGTGTAATAATTAAATCAATATTTAAAAATCTCAACTTACATAGGCAATATATATTCACTTGTATATTTGTTACAACTATGTTATCCCTTATCTTCAGTTATGATTATATTTTAATGATATCTGCATCATTAATCAAAATAAAATCATACTATCCTAGATACTGGCATATTAAAAAGGATAGGAAGAATGTTCATTTAAAAGTAAAAACCCAAAGTATTTACCATACATGAAGAGCAGAAATTTGCAATTATAAAAAAAGAATAAACTGTTAAATGTTTCCACTTATGAAACACAACTTTTTTCTTCTTTTTTTTCTGGTTGTAGGGCCAGTGCTTACTAGGAAGGCACTCTACAACTTGAGCCACAACTCTAGCCCTTTCGCTGTAGTTATTTGTTGAGTAGGGTCTTGTGCTTTTGCCCAGGTTGGCCTGGACCACAATCCTCCTATCTAAGCTTTCCACATAGGCTGGATTGACAGGTGTGTGTGCGACCACATCCAGCTTTATTGAGAACTCCCAATAAAGCTACCACTCCTCTTTCCCATCACCCAGCTTCTCACCATGATCCTTCTGATCTTCACCTCCCAAGTAAGTTGGGATTACAGGCATGAGGCACAGTGCTCGGCCCTTGAAATACACTAACATTTTCTAAAGGAAGGAAGGCTTTGGGAGACAGGAGTATGGCTCTGTGGCATAGTTCCTGCCTAGCATGCATGAGGGCCTGGGGTCAATACCCAGCACCAGGGGGTGAAAAAAAAGGGAAAAAAAATCTTTTATTATTTGGAAAATTCTCACTGCTCAAATACCCTAAAATATAAAACGTTTAATAAAAATCAGCTTTTTACTTATAAAAAACTGTACTTGTAGTACGGCATGAGAATATATGAGTGTTTGTTTAGGCTTAATTTATTTATCACAGTATAAATTTAGCTATTTAAAAAAACTGATTTATGATTCACAAAAAAAGAAAAAGGAAAAAAAAAGGAGGAGGAGAAGAAAGGAAAATTACCATTTTCTAAAGGAACAGATGCAGATAATTCTGTTATCCGTTCATCTTGATCATGCCTTGTATGATTGGCAGCCAAACTAGCCCACTGTGAAACCCAACGTTTGCTTCCAGAAGAAGGCGGGACTTCCTGAAGGAGGAGAACAGGAGAATGAAAGAAGATCCTCTGGGCAACTGAGTCTCAGGAATGAGAGTTTCACTTAGTCATATTAATGTCATAAAAGCTGTGATTGAACCTCACCCTGCTATTTATTAAATTTCTTTATGTTTAGCGATGAAGATTCTCTAGGTACACCTTTCAAATTACATTTTATTATTACTGTGAATGTGGACTATTTTTCTGTACTTCTTAAAAACTAAAAAAACAGTACTGAGGTACACTCTTGTAGCTTAAAATGTACTGGGTTGCCAGATAAGCACAAACCTGTATCAGCTTTTAGCTAGACCACTGCAGTCAGTTTTACTCCACTGCCCCAGTCCCAAGTTATTCTCTGGATCTCTAGGAAGTCAGATTGGTTCCAGAATCTCAGCAGTATTAATGCTGTCCTATCTTCAGATTTCAAAAACGCAAAGCTTTCCTGTATGATACATTAACACTTCCAAAAGGAGCGAGAATCAATTTCAATGAACTTTATCTGTACCAGTGTGAACCCAGACCTGTGTATGCTTAAGGCAAATGCTTTTTTGAATCCTTAGAGCCAAGAATGAAATGGAATTAAATTTATTATATGGTTCTCTGAAGTCATGGACACATACTGTTAATTCTTCTGACTAGGGCAATGTAGGTATTCAATTTGTTAGATCTGCAGGGTACAGGAAAAAATCACTAAAAAGGACTCTTCTCACTAAAAATGCAAGGCAGGAATTTATACTGAAACTAGAAAGCCAACTAGGGAAGGCAAAGCCATGACAGAAAGTTTACTCTGAACCAAATTAAAGACAAATATTTTATTAAGGTGTCCGATTTATTGTATTAATAATGGATAGGCTAGACACTGATGAAGTAGCAGTTTCATGCAGATTAGACACTGTATGATATCAAGAACAATAAGGCGAAATAGTAGAGAGTGATATACATAAAGAGTAGCTTAGGCATAACAAAACCTGCTGAACCTTTGAATTCACTTCTAAGGGGTCAGGGTATCTGCTCACATTTCTGACTGCTGAAAGCAGTACCAGTTCATTTGCACCATGCTAAGATTCTGCACAACAGAGTGGGTTTCAGTGACACATGACTATGTAGAATCACTCTATGACGTGTTTTCATGGCACACTAGGTGACTTCTACAAAGCGAGGAACATACTGGGGCTATAAAAACTTTACTTGGCATGGATTGAAGGGATCAAGAGGAGGTAATCTATTTAAACTCATTCACTAAAACCTTTCCTGGACTAATCAAAACACCGACACATTCCTTAAGTAACTATGACCTACTTAAATTAAACATCTTATAAAATAGAAACCAAAATAAAAATTCTTCAAATCGTGAGGCATGAAGAACTTTTAAATACAGTAATTGCTTTGACAGTTTTCAGGAAATTGCAAACCATAGAGAGATAATTTTAACATCAATAAATATATAGGTCAAAATTTTATTTACATTTCATATAAAGTAAAATATAAATAAAATGCTATACCTTATGATTCCCTTCTATTTACACTTAATATTTACCATACATACATTGTAAATTAGCTCTTTTAATAAGAGGCAGTATAGCATAATGAGTTAGGAAATGAATTAAGAAATCAGGGCTGTAAAGATTCAAATTCTGGCTTCATAAACTCCTAGTTTTAAGACCAGTTTCTTATTTGTAAAATGGCTCAGTGAAGACTTCCCTTGAATGTTACTGCCTATTATATGCGTAAGTAATAATTAATACTTCTACTCTGTATCCAGGCTTTACATTTCTTTTTGTCACATTAAATGGAACGAGATTTTCTTAGTTAGCTTCACATTACTCTAGTTACATCCTGACCTGTGCTGCGTACACTTCTGGAGGTATACAGATTGTATCTACCAGGCAGTACCTTTTGTATGTTTCCTGTGTAATAGGTCTTCTGCTTCCAAACACATATAAGCAGTGTATATTTCTGGTTTTTCTCTTAATGCCACTTAACAATAATGAACATATAGTTCACTGCTTACTGAAATGCAGTATTTTCCTAACAAAAAAACCCCTAATTTAAAATAGCATAATAAAAACTAAAAACTGAGCCAAAATTGCTTCAGGCTTTCATTAGAAATGAAAAAAAATCAATGATCATTTAGCTTTTAAAGGTATTTTACAAGGGGATATATCAATTGCTTAAAATAATGTAGCTGGACACCAGTGGCTCACACCTGTAATCCTAGCTACTTGGGGCAGAGAAGAGGAGACTCTTGGTTCAAAGCCAGCCTGGGTAAATAGTTCTCCAGACCCTATCTCAAAAAAACCCATTACAAAACAGGGGTGGAGGAGTGGCTCAAAAGGTAGAGTGTCTGCCTAGCAAGCATGAGGCCCTGAGTTCAACCCACAATACTGGAAAAAAAAAAAAACAAAGTAATTTACAAATGATAAGCATTTAAACTTTATGCATCTAAAAAGTTAAGTATGCAGAAGAGACGTATGTATACCTCTGAGCTGCGAAATCCAGGTGTGCTCAGTGGCTTTCTTTCTTCCATTACTACGGCAGCAGAACTGAGAGCCCAATCTTTCATCAGATCTTTATGCTTTTCATTGATAACAGGCCTATTATAATCCTGATTGTCATCTACGCCAAACACCTAGGAGGAAAAAATTTTAAGTGAAAATGAAAGTCTGAGCACCAGATTAGTATGTGAATATCATCAGTTAACTTCAGAGGCAAATACAAACATAGTAAATTAACTTCAACAGGGAATTTTAATAAAGAGAATTTGTTTAATGACAGGGTAACATCCAACTGGAGAAGAAAACAGGCAGCTGTAACTTATGTCAGTGTGAGTACTTTTTTTTTTTTTTAATATTTAGCAAATGTTCTGGTCAATGTTCACAATGTATATTTGATTTGTTAAGACTTAATAATGTGCATTCTCATTATGCATGGAGCTAGGCAAGAATGCCTCCTCACTGGGCCTCCAGTTTCTTTGTTTTATTGTTTTTGAGTAGCATGTTGAAAAAATATAAACATATGCCTCCTTTTATCTTTTCCTTCTTATCAAATGTTTTAACATTTACATGAGTTAAACTTACACATACAACTTTCTAAGGTGCCAAGTAAGATCTATCGTATGATCACATGGAGTACAGCATGACTGCCTAACAATCACTTACAGACCTTTGTTTGAAGTGCATATTCCTGTGTCTATTCACACAGATCAACTTTTTCAGTAAGCAGGTGGCCAATAGTAATGCTTTGAGAAATTCCGAATATTTACAGGCTTTTTAATGGATAGGACCTGAGGGCTTACTCATTTCCTGGCACATAAAAGGCCTTAGATAGTGCCTTGCCAAAGAGACTGGAAAAAGCTGTAGCTAATTAAGCTTTTAATATTTTATCATTAATCTCTAAGCTTTTAATATTTTATCATTAATCTCTACTTTGTTCCCCAAACTTATTCATTACACCTATTGTTTATGGCTCTAATCACTATAATCAAGGAAAATAAGTTGAATTAGCAATTTGTAAAAATAATTGTTAGAGCCTTCATATTTATAAGAAGTAAAAAACAATTTAGACATTTTTTCAAGAAAAAACTTAATGACCATATAGTAAGTTATCTGATAAATTCTGGAGTTCACATTTACTAAAGCAGATATGAAATTTCCAGATTCACTAAAAGTTGAAAATTTTACCATTAGAGGACCTTATTACCAGTATTTAATTCAAAATCATTTTTTAAGAATTATAACTTAATACTCCACTGAACTATTAACTATTCAAAGTATCTTTAAGAGCAAACTGCCTATTAGTAACTTTAAATCAAATATAAATTTCAATAATACATGGAAACACAGAGTACAAGAGAAAAAAACAAGAACTGCTTCATTTTGCTAAACATTAGACTGTGTTAAACTTTTAACAGTGAAAAAACGAACTATACCTGTGTCCTCTGCCTTTAATTCTATTTGTGAAGAAAGCAACTTAGAGTTACTCCGATTTGTGTATATCATTTAAAAGTTATTTCTAACTCAAGTCCTTAAACTCAAAATTTACTGTTTATTTCCTTATTTTCATAATCACTAGAAAAAATGAACTCAAGTTTGGAAGTAAAAATAATCACATAGGATTACTTGCATTTTTGCATCATTTTGGCATGTCAATACAGAAATTACCTTAAGTGATTTTCTGATTTGGTGATATTTAATTCTAATCACATACAGAAAACTTGGTGTCCTCAAACATCTATGTACTTAAAGTTTTCAAGAAAATATAGTAAATCTCTTCAAATCACTTCTGACATTATTTTGAAATGCTAATAAAAGACACACAAAGAAGTAATGCTCTAATGGGAGCTGAGGTTGGACAGAAAGTACTCAGATGACTTGACAAACTCCTCTGAAGGCATCAGAGATAGCTACACATTTATTTGTTAGAGTAGCAATTATTTCTGTTCCATACAAGCAGTATGGTAGCAAGTACTAATCTGAAGGAAAAGAAGCTTTTACATTTCATGTGAAAACCATGCTAGTATGCTTTCTATATTTAAAAAGTACCTAAAATCTGACATATTATCTAATAATTGGACAGAACTTGACAGCTGCCCAAAACCAAGACCAAGTCTGCTAGGCTTCCTTAGCCTTCATTCTGGACTCTGTCCCTAGGAGATTATATCCACCTGCAAGCCTTCACTTTGCTTACCACGGCTGCTTACCTGTCATCACTCTTCTTGCATGGTTCAAGATATTTCAAATGCAGGTAGTTAACCTGAGGATAGTGATTCTCTTTCCTTTCTCACCCTGACCTGGTCTAAAACAAAATCCCAAACTTATTTAGTACAAAATCTAAGTCTTTCAAGGGAGTTCCCCCTGCCCCAGGCATTGAGATTTGAACTCAGGGCCTTGCCAGGGCAGGCACTTTACCACTTGAGACACTCCACCAGCCCTTCTATAGTCTTCTTTAGGCTGGAAGTCTATAGTGGAGAAGGATGTAAGTCCAGATACCTAATTTTTCCTTGCCCCTTTAGTTACTGGGCTTTGAACACAGGGCACTTTTTGCTAGACATGTGCTCTACCACTTGAGTCATGCTCCCAACCTGTCTACAAGAATCTTGTACAAGTTGGCCAGTCATTTTCTAATTTGCCAGGGTAGAAGCAAAAGGAGGAAGGAGTGGGATAAAAAGAATAAAAAATTTCTTTGTGAACTAGGGGCATAGCTCAAGCAGTAGAGCACCTGCCTAGCAAGCTCGAGGCCCTGAGTTCAAACACCTGTACCAAAAAAATAAAACAAACAAACAAAAAAAACCCAATTTTTTTTTTCTTTGTGAACTTACACTGTCAGAGTTCTCTGGGGTCTGACAGATAAAGATATCTCATTTATCTTGGAGAGGAGTGGCTTTTACCTGTTTTCTCCTATAATTCTTTTGATCTAGTGAGATACGTCTCTATGGGGGTGATGGGTAGAGACCTGTGACTTCTCTCATGGCCTTTGAAGTTGAACTAAGAAGACAGTAGCTCCCTCTCCAAGCTACTCCAAGAGTCTTGGAACATGTTCTCAATCTTTACCTCTGAATAGGTACACATATTTGATATTTCACTTTGGGATTTCCCATCTAATTTCAGTAGCTGCTCTAAAAAATTTTTAATAACCTGTTATGGAGACATGGTACTAACTGTAACAACTAGGCTAAACATAAAAAATCTGTATGACTTTGCTAGAGGAGGCTGGGTCTAATGAAGGAGCTTATTTAAGAAACAAAAGTTTTTCTGGGTTTATTCTATAATTAAAACCAAATTTCCATTAGAACCAAACTATAGTTTTAGATTTTAGTTTTAAATTTAGAGAAACTAAACATTCTCCAGATGATAACAGATTAGTAGATACAACACAAACCAAGCCTAAGAAAATTTTGACATTCATATTTCCCACAGCCATATTATCATCACTGTCATTATTTAAATGTCTGGGCTATACAGCCAAGGCTCACATTTTCCGATATTAAAATATTGGAAAATTTCCAATATTGGAATGGTGAGGAGGGGAAAAGTGGTATATCACACCAAAGAACACAGAGTCAACTTCATGGGTCTAAATATCCAACCTATTGAACACTTGCAAAGAGAGGTCAAAATTACACTTAGTGACATCAGATATATGAGGCTTGCTTATTGTGACAGGAAGCAGAGACCAGTGTGAAAGAGGCAGGGAGAGAGGAATACACAGCAATACAAGTGTAGGGAAAAATGGTAACAGCAGTAGTTCTGAATTATTAGAGTAAAAAAATTCTGGGCTGGAGGTGTAGCTCAGTCTGGTTTTGATCACCAGCCCCTCAAAAAAAGGAAGAAATTCACCTGGGATTCAGAATTCACCTTCCCATGGAAATCTGAAAACTAATAATGAACCAACTATCAAGCTTTTGTAGGCTTATTTTAAAACAACTAAACAGTATGACGTTAGTATATTAATCATACCAAGCTGTCAAACTGAAAATGGAACTAAATGTAAACCTCCAATAACCAGAATATCTCTCTTCTCAAGGAGGAAGGACCTCCTAGCTATGAAATGCCAGGTCTCCACCAGTTCAAATCAATAGCAGAGGCTCCCATGCCCTACCAAAATCATTTGAGAAATCACTTTTAAGAACTATGCCAAATTCTAGCCACTAGTGTCAAGGAACTAAGTTAACTAGAATTTAAAATTTTCAATTTTCAATAAAAATCTAATTTCACTTTCAAAAAGAAAATTCATTAAAATTCACTGGAATAAATTATGAATGTTTAACACTTATTTTATAATATACTAGTAATCAACTTTCAAACTTTAAGTTCAGACAAAATTGTAAGAAGAGAAAACTCAGAAAGGGGTTAGGGAGATGTTTTATAATTTATCATAATTTATTATAATTTATCATGGTGCACACACAAATACATGCACATCTGTGTTCAGAGCAGCACTATTTACAATAGCCAAATTGAAACAAACCCAATGTTCATCAATGGATGAATCAATAAATGCAAGAGTTCATCTTCAATGCTTGATTATTCAGCCACAATAAGGAATGAAGTACTAATACATGCCATAACATGGATGAACCTTGAAAACATTATTCTTATTTTTATTTTTTTGTGTTTCTTGAGTTTGAACTCAGGGCCTCACACTTGCTAGGCAGATAAAGCACCTAGCTACTAGTTGAGGCATGCCGCCAGCACTGGTTTTTTGTGTTTGATTTTTCTGAGATAGGGTTTTGTGAACTATTTGCCTGGGCTGAGATCCTCTGATCTCAGCCTCGTGAGTAGCTAGGATTACAGGCATGAGCCACCAATACCCAGCTGAAAACATTATTCTAAGTAACAGTAGCCAGTCATTAAAGGTCACTCAGAGAATGATCTTACTTATATGAAATATCCAGAGAAAGCAAATGCACAGAGACAGAAACCAGTTTACCAGTTGCCAAGGGGCTAGAGAAAGGAGGAATGGGAAATGACTACTTAATGTATATAGAATTTCATTTCAGGGTGATGAAAATGTTCTGCAGTTATAGCACAGATCTCTGCACAACAGTGCTAATGTATTAAAAGATTTTATTTTTTTGCTACGTAGCACAGTCTGGCCTAGAACTTTGAGATCTCCTGCCTCTGCCTCCCA